AAGCCTGAATGGTCCCCACTATCCTTATCATCTTCGACGCCACACATCCTTCCCATCCACCCCTATCCTACCCATCTGCCCGCAACCTCTCCACCTCTACACAACCCGTATCATACCACATGGGGGAGGACCTCTCCTATCCCCCCACAGTGGGGAGGACCTCTCCTATCCCCCCACAGTGGGGAGTTGAAAGAAAAGTAAAAAAAAATAGTCTTGCAATTACAAACACAAGAGTGGATGGAGAGTCGTTCTGTTACGAATCAAATCTTGAAGCGTTTTAACTTCAAGATTCGATTCGTAAAGTTTCACGGCCTGTATATAACTGCTGTTAATTAATAAGATTTTTTTAGATTTTTCGTTTAATTCTAACCCAACAGTTCTGTCGTGGTGAAAGATGTTTAGCTGGCCAGCATCACGGATCGGAGGCAAGTGAGGTGTGGAATGTGAGGGATCACTGTCAAGGAGCCGAGAGTGACCAGGGGACCGTTTACTGCTGGCCGTGACAGCTGGGAATGACGAGCTGGGATTGACAGCTGGGAATGACAGCTGGGATTGAGCCCAGAGCCAGCAGGAGACGGAGGAGTGACAGAAGGATATCTTAATGTGTTTCGCGGTCATTATATATATATATGTTTACATAGTTTTCTCTACTTCAAAAGTACAACACGGTAATTCATTGCATTTCCTGTCCCTCCTCTGTCCAACAGACAGACAGACAGACAGACAGACAGACAGACAGACAGACAGACAGACAGACAGACGGGTGGTGATGAACAATCGCTATGAATGCTTCCAGCTGGATGTTAATTGATTGTTGCCGGAGGCCGGATAAGGACTCAGTGAGCGCAAGTGACGGCCGCTCTGAGCGCGTTATCACCGGGTCTGAAGGTGGACAACTTCATCACTTGTACAAGTACTCTGGGCGTTGATCACCGCACGATAATACTAGGAAATCTGGCGAGGAGACGGCGCTAGGCACGATTTTGATGAAGGCACTCGCTCGCTCACTCACTCACTCGCTCACTCGCTCACTACGGTCAAACTTTTTCTTGAAATAATAATGAAAAAAGTCTTATTACTGTGAGAGGTTGAGACCTTGACACCTGAGCCTGGCCTCGACGCCTTCCTCCTCCTATCTTCTTCCTTGTCGTTGCTACCTTGAGTGCCTTCCCTTCCTCCTATCCCAGATCCTTATCCTCGTCCCACCGACCTATCCCAGATCCTTGTCCCAGAGCCTTATCCTCGTCCCTCCGACCTATCCCAGATCCTTATCCTCGTCCCACCGACCTATCCCAGAGCCTTATCTTCGTCCCACCGACCTATCCCAGAGCCTTATCCTCGTCCCACCGACCTATCCCAGAGCCTTATCCTCGTCCCTCCGACCTATCCCAGAGCCTTATCCTCGTCCCACCGACCTATCCCAGAGCCTTATCCTCGTCCCTCCGACCTATCCCAGAGCCTTATCCTCGTCCCTCTGACCTATCCCAGATCCTTATCCTCGTCCCTCCGACCAATCCCAGAGCCTTATCCTCGTCCCACTTACCTATCCCAGAGCCTTATCCTCGTCCCACCGACCTATCCCAGAGCCTTATCCTCGTCCCACTTACCTATCCCAGAGCCTTATCCTCGTCCCACCGACCTATCCCAGAGCCTTATCCTCGTCCCTCCCAGGGGCTATGTAGGCGCCCTGGCTTGGTGTTTTGTTCTGATAGTTACCTTACCTCCTTTAACATAAAAAATCTATCAAAGAATCGGTGACCGAGTCTAAATATTCTCTGTTTAGAATGTAAAACATAAAATAAGTTTTTGGCCCATCAACTTTATTGGTTTCCGCTCGGCCGGCACGTGTGCTGCCTCTCGCTCGGCCGGCACGTGTGCTGCCTCTCGCTCGGCCGGCACGTGTGCTGCCTTCTGCTCGGCCAGCACGTGTGCTGCCTCTCTCTCATTTGTCCAAATATAACCAAATTATTGTCTACATTTTGCACTCGGTGATGCCAGTTGTGTGAGTTCTCCATCCTTAGGTGAGGCCGCACTCCTACGGCCCCAGGTGTACACCACCATGTTGAGTCATGTGTGTGTGGGGGCACCGCATGGCCATGTTGCGTCATGTGTGTGTGGGCACCGCATGGCCATGTTGCGTCATGTGTGTGGGGGCACCGCATGGCTATGTTGCGTCATATGTGTGTGGGCACCGCATGGCCATGTTGCGTCATGTGTGTGGGGGCACCGCATGGCCATGTTGCGTCATGTGTGTGGGGGCACCGCATGGCCATGTTGCGTCATGTGTGTGGGGGCACCGCATGGCCATGTTGCGTCATGTGTGTGTGTGGGCACCGCATGGCCATGTTGCGTCATGTGTGGGGGGCACCGCATGGCCATGTTGCGTCATGTGTGTGGGTGGGCACCGCATGGCCATGTTGCGTCATGTGTGTGGGGGCACCGCATGGCCATGTTGAGTCATGTGTGTGTGTGCACCGCATGGCCATGTTGCGTCATGTGTGTGTGTGTGGGCACCGCATGGCCATGTTGCGTCATGTGTGTGTGTGTGTGCACCGCATGGCCATGTTGCGTCATGTGTGTGTGTGGGCACGCATGGCCATGTTGCGTCATGTGTGTGTGTGTGCACCGCATGGCCATGTTGCGTCATGTGTGTGTGTGGGCACCGCATGGCCATGTTGCGTCATGTGTGTGTGTGGGCACCGCATGGCCATGTTGCGTCATGTGTGTGTGTGTGCACCGCATGGCCATGTTGCGTCATGTGTGTGTGTGGGCACCGCATGCCATGTTGCGTCATGTGTGTGTGTGTGCACCGCATGGCCATGTTGCGTCATGTGTGTGTGTGTGCACCGCATGGCCATGTTGCGTCATGTGTGTGTGTGGGCACCGCATGGCCATGTTGCGTCATGTGTGTGTGTGTGCACCGCATGGCCATGTTGCGTCATGTGTGTGTGTGGGCACCGCATGGCCATGTTGCGTCGTGTGTGTGTGTGGGCACCGCATGGCCATGTTGCGTCATGTGTGTGTGGGTGGACACCGCATGGCCATGTTGCGTCATATGTGTGTGTGCTTCATAAGTCCGTGTTGCATCGTATATCAGGAAGCTTAATACATTTTTATGTTAATATAATTTATTTTATCAAGCAGACACACTTTAACCTCGTGATTGTGTTTTTATTCTTTTATATTTACTTAATCAAAATCTGTATCTTACACCGTCTTCAAGGAGGCACGTGAAAGTTAAAGAGTGCCTTATAGTTTCTTCATCGAGGCTACGGGTCCTCTGAATACTTCAAGGGGTGGCAGTGTGTGTTTGGGTATTATATATATATATATATATATATATATATATATATATATATATATATATATATATATATATATATACAACTTTAGAACACTTTCCCACCAGGAGACTCGAACCCTAGCCAGCATAGATATATATATATATATATATATATATATATATATATATATATATATATATATATATATATATATATATATATATATATATATATATATATATATACACACACACACACACATACACGTACACACACACACACACACACACACACACACACACACACACACACACACACACACACACACACACACACACACACACACACACACACACAACACACACACACACACACGCCGCCAAAGCTCGCGGCCCCCTTCCCCAAAACCACAACTAAGTGAGTACACTCAAAAATGAAGTAACATGGAATGGTCTTTGCTAAACCCTTAGTGTTGAGCTGGTCATTTCGGTCATGATGGGTCAAGGCATCAGGTATATAAATAGTCACATCTACCGTTGTTAAACATGACAAACACACCTAGTTTACAACCAGGTATGTGGTTAACTACCAGCTGAAGGCTATTAGCACCTTCCCCCATGGTACACGGGGGTGCTTCAGGTGCCTCAGCGCCTGGCACACATGATGTATAGGCGCTCTTCATTGAATAAATTACCCGGCGGCTCCTGTGATGTTGTAACAATGGTATGAGAATACTGAACCGCGGCCCTCTGACGCGGCGAGACACATACTGCTCTCTACCTCCCACAGATGAGACGCCCAGTCTTGTGCCCAACACCCCCTGCTCCAGGCTGCCATCACACACACACACACACACACACACACACACACACACACACACACACACACACACACACACACACACACAGTTAACAGATGGAATGCATTAACAAGTGATGTGGTGGAGGCTGACTCTATTCACAGTTTCAAATGTAGATATGATAGAGCCCAATATGCTCAGGAATCTGTACACCTGTTGATTGACAGTTGAGAGGCGGGAGCAAAGAGCCAGAGCTCAACCCCCGCAAGGCCAACTAGGTGAGTACACACACACACACACACAAAGCTCGCATAGTGAACACCCTAGGAACGTGTGTGTGTGTGTGTGTGTGTGTGTGTGTGTGTGTGTGTGTGTGTGTGTGTGTGTGTGTGTGTGTGTGTGTGTCAGTTCAGAGATAGGTGAAGGATTTAGGGAAAAAGTCAGTTTAATAATATGGTCAGACTCTAGTGCTAGGTTCTAGATACAAGTGAACTCTACATATTTAAATATTATCTGTGTGCTTCAGAGATTGGAAAGCGCCCGTACCCAGTCCAAGGGGAATAAGAGATAGACTAAGTGCTCCATCCTTTAGGAATCTACCTTCTTGTCCAGATGGGCATAGAGGCATGTCCCTCTCAATTCGAACTTTCCTGTCAGGACCAACCGGACTGTGGTGGATATGTGGGCCTGCGGGCCGCTCCAAGCAACAGCCTGCTGGAACAAGCTCTCACAAGTCGAGCCTGGCCTCGGGCCGGACTCGGAGAGTAGAACAACTCGCAGCACCCCATCCAGGCACAATCCAGGAAAAAGATTTTTGGGGAGACGTGACTTAAAAGTTGGAAAATGTTGTATTTGTGTATTAGAAGCAAACTTATTTTCCTACGGTGTTCTGGACGTGTGTAATGTTGTAGCATATAATGGGTCGAGTTGAGGCTCCGGGTGCTCTCACGGGGAACACTGAGGCTCCGGGTGCTCTCACGGGGAACACTGAGGCTCCAGGTGCTCTCACGGGGAACACTGAGGCTCCGGGTGCTCTCACGGGGAACACTGAGGCTCCGAGTGCTCTCACGGGGAACACTGAGGCTCCGGGTGCTCTCACGGGGAACACTGAGGCTCCGGGTGCTCTCATGGGGAACACTGAGGCTCCGGGTGCTCTCACGGGGAACACTGAGGCTCCGGGTGCTCTCACGGGGAACACTGAGGCTCCGGGTGCTCTCACGGGGAACACTGAGGCTCCGGGTGCTCTCACGGGGAACACTGAGGCTCCGAGTGCTCTCACGGGGAACACTGAGGCTCCGGGTGCTCTCACGGGGAACACTGAGGCTCCGGGTGCTCTCATGGGGAACACTGAGGCTCCGGGTGCTCTCACGGGGAACACTGAGGCTCCGGGTGCTCTCACGGGGAACACTGAGGCTCCGGGTGCTCTCACGGGGAACACTGAGGCTCCGGGTGCTCTCACGGGGAACACTGAGGCTCCGGGTGCTCTCACGGGGAACACTGAGGCTCCGGGAGCTCTCACGGGGAACACTGAGGCTCCGGGTGCTCTCACGGGGAACACTGAGGCTCCAGGTGCTCTCACGGGGAACACTGAGGCTCCGGGTGCTCTCACGGGGAACACTGAGGCTCCGGGTGCTCTCACGGGGAACACTGAGGCTCCAGGTGCTCTCACGGGGAACACTGAGGCTCCAGGTGCTCTCACGGGGAACACTGAGGCTCCGGGTGCTCTCACGGGGAACACTGAGGCTCCGGGTGCTCTCACGGGGAACACTGAGGCTCCGGGTGCTCTCACGGGGAACACAATACTTATAAATGGAACCTGCAAAAGGAATAAAGTTACCAAAAGCCAAATCAGCTCAACTCCGCAGACGAATTTGTGGTCATCATCAATACCAGAGGCGCCAGGAACCATGCACAAAAATAGCTACACACTATCAGCAGGGAAGCGGAACGCATAGCAGTGAAAATAAACAGAAATAAAACCAAAGTAATAGACGTTAGAGTGAGAACTCAAGACATCAGACTCGTAAGACAAGGACATGAAATTGACTGAATTACCTCTTTTCAATACCTCGGAGTCATAATAATCAACCAGCTGAAATTCACTAAAGAAAATCAATGTCTTCGGCAAAGTTGCAAAGTCAGAAACTCAGCTTTGCGCTCCCTGACCAGTCTTAGAGAGGGCAAAGGTGCATCTCTACCAGTACTCAAAATGTACTACGTTCAAGCAGTTAGGTCACTCATTGACTATGCTGCTCCTGCTCTTACATCCCTCAGTGATAACCATTGGGAGAAACTGGAAGTGTCTCAAAATGATGCTCTGAGAACAATGCTGGGAGCACCTATACGGACGCGTCGAGAGAATCTAAGAATGGAGACCAACTTACCAGCATTAGAAAACAGGATCCAACAAAGGATAGCCACCATAACAACAAAACTTGTTGGAACCACCGCCAGACTGTCAATCAAAGACAGCATACACAGATCGCTTCAGAGAAACCTTCAATATAGAACAAGTGCATGGACGGATAATCTGGTCAAGATTCTAGAAAAAGTGGACCTGAAATGGATCATTAAAAACAAAGGGGAAGATAGACCATATCAACACTTTCGCAGCCTCCTCCATGGGAAGAATCGAGTCTAAATATTATCATTGAAGGATTACCAGTTAAAAAATCAGCATGTGACTCGCAGAGGTTCAAAGCAGTCATAGAACAACAAATGGAAATAATCTCAAGACCCACAACGACTCGCATCTTCCCAGATAGATCAGCTTATCAAGAAAGAGGTTCTGCTGGGGCAGCAGTTTACACTAACAACCATGAAGCTTACTGGAGCATGAATAGCGCTGCTCAACATTGCCAATTATATGCCCTGAAGAAGGTTATAAATTATACAATTGAGAATAATTTACATGATATCATCATTCATACCGACTCTTAATCTTCGCTCCAGGCATTGTTATCCATCCAGCACAGAGATAATATACAACTCATCACAGAAATCCAACATATAGGAAAAGCAGCACACAATCTAGGGCTGTCAATCACCATTGGATACCAAGTCGCATTGGCATAGATGGTAATGAAACGGCAGACTCACTAGCAAAAACTGCCACTGCTCTACCTGTTGTTAAGGTTCAAATACCTCCAAGTTTTTCACAGATTAATGAGCAAATCAAGAAGAAAATGCTCCCAACTGTCAAATGTCGCCACAGATCCAAAGTAGCGGAAGGCAGATCCACTGCGATATGGTACGAACAAGCCACTGGGTTTGTCAGGCTCTTTCAAGCCTGACAAACAGATATCCAGAGATATTGCAGTAGCCATATACAGACTCAGACTTGGTTACAAGTGCTGCTGGGAGGTAATAAACCCAATAGTTAAAGAATGTCATATCTGTGGAACAGAATCAGAGGCGCCACTATTGCACTACTTACTGGAATGTGAAGCTACTGAAGCCCTGCGCATCAAACTCAACATTAATCCAACGACAGCAGCTGCATAAGATGCACATTCCACAGCCACTACAATTATTAGAAAAGCCGTTGAAGAATGGGACTCACTAGTGAGCATTCTGCATCTACATCCGTCACCAAGATAATGTTATTAAAACAAGACTAAAACCAGTACACTAAAACAGAAGCAGAAAAGAAACGGGAGAAATGGTGAAAACTCCACCTCCATTTAAAACTTTGGCCCAAATATCACAGTAACAAGGTTATTGTGCATAACCGAACTCTATTACGGGCTCACCATAGCCCGTGCTACATGGATATTTCGTTCTGGGTAACTAAATTTATAACAACAACAACAACAGGAACAAAGTTGTCAATACGCTCTAAATCATCCCCGTCACTGTTAATGTAAACTGGTTGATGTTGTTAAAGATACCCGTCCGCCTAATAGAACGTCGCATTTCGACGTATACTCTACCTATATACAAAAATTGTCGTACTAGAAAATGGAAGCGGCTGGCGAAAGTGACGTACTGTCCCGTTTTCTGTTTTGGGTCCTCTGGTAGGTTGGGAGAGGACACATTAAAATTAACCGTTTTCTTGACGTTGGAGAGCCTAATTAGGAGGACGGGCTGGGAGGTGATACTAAGGTGGCGTGTGTCACCTTATTGTGTTAATGTGACGGGCCGAGCGTGTGTCGGCGTGCGCACCATCGACACTATGGCTCGGCCGCTCCTTATATACAGACCTGCTGACTAATTACCGCTGCTGGTCAGCCATGACACGTCTTCATCAGCTGTCATTTGATGGCCTTCATCTCATGTTTATCGAGTGGATGATAATCAATTCGCTCCTGTATAATGTGGCACTTGGGTGAAGCCGCTTTGGGGGGGTCTAAACGATCATTTTATACCCGAGTGAAGGTGACTTTTATATACGTGATGATAACTATTTGTATACTAATACAAGGGTTGAAAATTTTAGTTATAGCCTATTATGAACCCTTTTTTTGTGTAAACCAAGGAACCGGTTTCTGAGTTACGGATTCAGCAGCAGCAGCTGGAGGACTAAACACCATGGTTGGGGCAGTGTTGTGTGCGGCTGGGAGAGCAGGTGATGGACACGCACGTACACCATACACACACACCATACATACACACACACACCATACACACACACCATACACACACACACCATACATACACACACACACACCATACACACACACACACACACCATACATACACACACACACACCATACACACACACCATACATACACACACACACCATACATACACTCACACACCATACACACACACACACACACACACACACAAAGAGGCAGAGCTCAACCCCCACAAGCAGAACTAGGTGTGTACACTGAGGATGCACTACACGTCCAAACACCTCCCAGCTCCACACACACCAAACACCTCCCAGCTCCACACACACCAAACACCTCCCAGCTCCACACACACCAAACACCTCCCAGCTCCACACACACCAAACACCTCCCAGCTCCACACACACCAAACACCTCCCAGCTCCACACACACCAAACACCTCCCAGCTCCACACACACCAAACACCTCATACACACACACACCAAACACCGCCCAGCACCACACACACACAAACACCTCCCAGCTCCACACACACCAAACACCTCCCAGCTCCACACACACAAACACCTCCCAGCTCACACACACACCAAACACACGCCCACACTCCACACACACCAAACACCTCCCAGCTCCACACACACCAAACTAGGTGTGTACACTGAGGATGCACTACACGTCCAAACACCTCCCAGCTCCACACACACCAAACACCTCCCAGCTCCACACACACCAAACACCTCCCAGCTCCACACACACCAAACACCTCCCAGCTCCACACACACCAAACACCTCCCAGCTCCACACACACCAAACACCTCCCAGCTCCACACACACCAAACACCTCCCAGCACCACACACCAAGCACCGCCCTCCATAAAAACTCGAGCTCCTAAATCTAGGCATCCCGTCGCCTCTAGCACGCACCCCAGCGACCGTAGCTTGCCTAAGAGTCTCTCTCTCATGCCTATCAGACCATATAACATTCACCCAGACAATTTACATTGTGTCGTATGTCTTTTTTATACCTGCAACACTAAACAAACTGTAAAATAGCTAAGCACATTGTGCCCTGTGAAATGTGACGTATAAAAAGGCGTTCAGTAACCATTGATAAAACTTTACGATATTTTTTTTTAATGTGCGTGAGGGCTGTTATGTAGGTTGAGAGGCACTAATGTGTGCTGCCACGCCTCTTCCCTGTTGACCACCCGCGGACCCGTGCACGGGGATCGCTATATACGCCATACACATCGTTTTATGGGGGGAGGGGGTGCCGTATACATGCTTGATGCAGCCTGCCACAGCTAGTGTGGCCATTTATGGAGGAATGTATAAGGAGTGTATGGAGGAGTGTAGTGGAGTGGAGTGTATAAGCATCTTGCTAGACGATAGACGATGTTGTTCATTCTAAAGTTCTGAAAATATTCTGTACGGGTCTCGTATCATGCATCTGGAAACCCATTTCTTATGGGGGTTTCCTACCCCTCTTTCTCCACCTGCTCCACCACCACCTGCACCACCACCACCTGCACCACCACCACCATCACCACCTGCTCCACCACCACCTGCACCACCACCACCATCACCACCTGCTCCACCACCACCTGCACCACCACCACCTGCACCACCACCACCATCACCACCTGCTCCACCACCCACCACCAGCGTGACGCCGCCATAACCTTGCCTTTAATCGCGTTTGCTCCTGATTTGCGGTGTGGTGAATGTTAATATACGAGTTGCTCCTTAGTGCTCCCACAGACTCTCACCCTGGGATGCTGTGCGGCGGAGATGAGGGCCCCGGGAAGATGTTGCCTCCGCAGCATCCCCAGGCGAGTGATCTCCCAGCGTTTATGATGCCAGAACTGTCAGGTGGTGGCTGAGGCTTGCAGTTAAGCGCCTACAAATTAGCAATAGGGATCAAACAAGTTTATTAAGTCAAGTCGAAACAAGTCATTTGTTTCGTAAAGTGTAGAGGAAGGTGTGGCAGGAGCAGTGATTGTGTTGGTGGGATTGTAATTGTGTTTCTAGTGCAAGCTGTAGGGAGGTGGTGATTGTATTGGGGAGGTGGTGATTGTGTCGGGGAGGCGGTGATTGGGTCGGGGAGGCGGTAATTGTATCGGGGAGGCGGTGATTGTGTCGGGGAGGTGGGTGATTGTATTGGGCAGGTGGTGATTGTATTGGGCAGGTGGTGATTGTGTCGGGGAGGCGGTGATTGTATTGGGGAGGTGGTGATTGTGTCGGGGAGGCGGTGATTGTGTCGGGGAGGCGGTGATTGTGTCGGGGAGGCGGTGATTGTGTCGGGGAGGCGGTGATTCCGTCGACACATTTGCAGCCTCCACCCACGTCATCTTGTCCAAATTTCTCCCAATTTAAGGAGACTTATCTTTGTCCATCTTGTCGATCCCTCCTATCTTTCATGTAGTGATCATGTCCTCTCTGTTCCTTCTTTCCACTAAGGTTGTGAAGTTGAGTTTACTTAAATTGTTCTGGTAGTGGGTTGGTAGCAGGAAGCCAGGTTTGAGGAGTAGTGGTGCCATAGCAGGCACCCGGTGGCACCCGGGCTCCCTGGGAAGACCTGGCACTATGGGGGATATACAGGCTTCGCCCATCACTGAGAAGTGAATCCTTTTGATTTAATAGTAAAAGTTAATTATCTTTTTTAATTGTTTTACCTAATTTGCATACATTTTCCATAACGTGTATAATACATTTTGAGAAGTACCATAGACTCTTAAGAATTTCTGCGTTGCCTAGACGCCTAGCGGGGCCTGCCCTCACCTAGACACCTAGCGGGGCCTGCCCTCACCTAGCCACCTAGCGGGGCCTGCCCTCACCTAGACACCTAGCGGGGCCTGCTCCCACCTAGACGCCACCATCAACAGGACACAAAAAGCTCGGGGAGAAGCTGAATGTTTACGAGTTGATGAGAAAAAAAGTGGCTGACCAACCGAGGGGGAATTATCGGGTGGTAATAAAGTCCTCTCCCACGGCACCAGATTGCTCCCCCTCGCGCCTCTCCTGCGTATGTAATGGCATATTGAATCTCCCAAGCTTAATTCTCTGTCAGTATTTCACACACACACACTGGTGAGGGATGATGTTTATAGAGGCGGAGAACACTGCTGTCAAGACATGAGCGGCTCGTTAAAGGATAGTGAGGCATAAAGCGAATTGTGGTGGCGGTACAGTGTTGGTTGGTTAATGGGTTGTGCTTGACCCGGGGGAATCCCTTCCCCCCTCTCTGTCTCTCTCTCTCTCTGTCTTTCTCATTTTCTCTTCCCTTCTCCTCCCCCCTCCTTTCCTTGCTTGTGTCCAAGACGAGGGAGTATGCTAGAGAGAGATGAATGATCTCGCAGGTTTTAAACAAATAGGTTTAGGTCAACGGGCGAGGTCACACGTCTTCACAGGTCACACCCTCACAGGTCACACCCCTCACAGGTCACACGTCTTCACAGGTCACACCCTCACAGGTCACACCCCTCACAGATCACACCCCTCACAGGTCACACATCCTCACAGGTCACACCCTCACAGGTCACACACCCTCACAGGTCGAGTGTTGAAGGGTTGCTCGAGTTTTAACAAGTACAAATATATTGAAGTGGCAGAGACTGGACGAGACATGTTGCTGGGGGGTCACAGTAAACGACACCCCCCCAGCAACGACACCAGCCCCCCCAGCAACGACACCAGCCCCCCCCCCCAAGCAACGATACCTCCCCCCCCCCCCAGCAACGACACCAGCCCCCCCCCCCCAGCAACGACACCTCCCCCCTCCCACACCAACGACGCCAGTGTACGTGTAATTGAGAGAGCATTAAATAAGCTCCAGGAGGCTGCTCTAACTTGCGTTGATAAATGAGGTCGTTAATGGGGTCCTCCCGCGCTCACGACCCTCAGGTGCCACACAGGTGCTACACACAGGTGCCACACAGGTGCCCCCACACAGGTACCACACAGGTGCCACACACAGGTGCCACACACAGGTGCTCCACACAGGTGCCACACAGGTACCCCACAGATAGTTCCAACTCAACGTGAACTATCGAGTTCACGTTGAGTTCACGCCCTCACAGGTGTATCGAGTTCACGCCCTCACAGGTGTGACCTGTGAGGGTGTATGACCTGTGAGGGTGTGTGACCTGTGAGAGGGTGTGACCTGTGAGATATAATGCAGGTATCGAGATAATGTTGACTGAGATTGTTAACATCAGAAGAGAGACGATGACTTTTAAATTGATTGTAATTGAGGTTGTTTTTTTTTTCCCCTAGCCTGAGTTAATGTTTACAAGTGCACCTTGTGCTGTGGACTGGCCCGGGGAATTACCTGTGTTTTTGTTGTGTTAACTATTAAAACATAATGAGAGTTGGCGGGGCGTGATGACACTCTTGTGGTGTTCTAAGTCACAGTAACGTGGTTGTATATAAGTGAACTCGTCGACACGTGTTGGAACATATGGTAGTGATGACACGTCTGTGTCCATCTTGGAGGAGTTGATGAAGATGGACGACTTGTTTGACCCCTCGCCGCCTCCCTGACGTGTGGGGGGGGGAGGGGAGGGAGTCATATATTGAATATACATCCTTATTAATTACAGATGGAAATATATATATATATATATATATATATATATATATATATATATATATATATATATATATATATATATATTATTAAATATGACCGAAAAAGTAAGATTAATAATTCTAACACGAATTTTCTCAATCTTTCGTACATTACGCTTCACTGTTGGAGGTAAATCAAAAATCACTTCTCCAAAATTCATTTTTATTTCTAGTCTGACGCGACACGGGCGCGTTTCGTAAAACTTATTACATTTTCAAAGACTTCACAAATACACAACTGATTAGAACTTGCGTTTCCCTCATTTTATATCTACATTTGAGTGAGGTGGGAAGGGTGATGTGGCATTACATTTGAGTGAGGTGGGAAGGATGATGTGGCATTAACACAAGACAGAACACTAGAGGATATTAATAGGGTATTAAAAGTATCAACACAAGACAGAACAGAAACAATGGGTATTGAATAGAAGTGTTTGTAGAAAGCCTATTGGTCCATATTTCTTGATGCTTCTATATTGGAGCGGAGTCTTGAGGTGGGTAGAATATAGTTGTGCAATAATTGGCTGTTGATTGCTGGTGTTGACTTCTTGATGTGTAGTGCCTCGCAAACGTCAAGCCGCCTGCTATCGCTGTATCTATCGATGATTTCTGTGTTGTTTACTAGGATTTCTCTGGCGATGGTTTGGTTATGGGAAGAGATTATATGTTCCTTAATGGAGCCCTGTTGTTTATGCATCGTTAAACGCCTAGAAAGAGATGTTGTTGTCTTGCCTATATACTGGGTTTTTTGGAGCTTACAGTCCCCAAGTGGGCATTTGAAGGCATAGACGACGTTAGTCTCTTTTAAAGCGTTCTGTTTCGTGTCTGGAGAGTTTCTCATGAGTAGGCTGGCCGTTTTTTCTGGTTTTATAGTAAATCGTCAGTTGTATCCTCTGATTTTTGTCTGTAGGGATAACGTTTCTATTAACAATATCTTTCAGGACCCTTTCCTCTGTTTTATGAGCTGTGGAAAAGAAGTTCCTGTAAATAGTCTAATAGGGGGTATAGGTGTTGTGTTAGTAGTCTCTTCGGGGGTTGCATGGCTTTTCACTTTCCTTCTTATGATGTCTTCGATGTCATATTTAATAATATATGTCTACAGGAAAGACTGCTACCAAAATATAATATATATATATATATATATATATATATATATATATATATATATATATATATATATATATATATATATAATATATATATATTATATATATATAATAATAAAATAATATATATATATATATATCCAGCCACATAGACACATCCAAGTACTTCCGTCTTGAGGACGTCTTCAGAGGCGTAAGATCGTAATTATAAAGTTAGTGTTCACAGTGAACAAATAAGATGGCAAGTGACGAAACATACAGAATATTACTAGTTATGCTATGTCGCAGAACTCAAATATTTTTGAAAATTGTGAAGACAAAAACTTAAGAATTGGATGTAAAATTGGTAAAGCCTTCGACTACAATACAGTGCACTTATACAGCTCATACAACTGAAATAGATTTAAACAAATGATAAGAAAGCACAAAAGATTTTACAATGATACAATTAGGCCATGTACAACTGTATATAAAAGTCATTAAGACAGGATTCCGCACTTGTACAGTGAAATCACTTAATCCAACGAACCAATCAGAGATACAGTAAGATCCGTCTACCAGGAGCCTCGGTTTTCGCTTCCCCTCCCCCCCCCTCCCCACTGACAGTGGGATGTCCGCTTAGGTCAGCTTAGCATAGTCTTGGTCAGCTTGGCTTAGTCTTGATCAGCTTAGTCTGCTCACAACCCAGAGGTTCCTGGCTCCATCCCCGGACAGGACATGACGTTTTGAGAAGGTTTCCTGGGACAAGCTGTAAGGAAGCTGTAAGCTGTAAGGAAGCTGTAAGGAAACTAAGGGCAGCAACGGCACATGTCTTCACAACACCTACCTACTGTTTTTATTATTATTATTAATTATGACGGACCTGTTAAGGTCATAGTGAACATAACAACCTTTCCCTTTCAGTCACAAGAATTTGGCTCCCGTCCAAAGTCATTAAGGTACTTCAAGGTAATTTACCGTCATGTGACAGACTATGATACAACTGTCTTCCGAGCCGAGTTATGGAGGTCATTTATTGTGTGTGATTCAGTAGGTTCAGTATTATGAAGGGAGGACGTCAGCGTCACATGTTGTAGAGAGAGATGTTGGTTAGCGGTGGTAACGAGGTGTACACATTCCCGGTGAGGCACGTGTCTGGCCCGCCACACATTCCTGGTGAGGGCGGGTAGTGAGGCAGCTCACCGGTGACACCAGCATCCCAACCTGAGGCCTGGTCGACCTCAAACAGCTCCCCCCCTTTCCCACCCTTTCCCACCAGGTATTTTGAGCTTTGGTGCCTATGGCCGTAAGGGTCAGTTTCTTTTACGACTAAAGTGACGGGGGATCGCAAAGCTGCTTATTGCTGATGTTCTCCAGCCGGTAATTACCTCAACGATAGCATTATCGATTCTAATTAGCTTATACAGATTACCGGCAGCCGTAAAATCCGTAAGATGGAACTAAACCGATTATATGGATTGAATGTCTGAGACCCCTGACGGGCGGTGGGGGCGACACCTTCGTGGACACGTCAGTAGACATGGCAGTTGTCCCTTCCTGTAGCAGGTGATCGCTCACTTCCCAGGTTATACCTGCTGGACACCTGCTGGACACCTGCTGGACACCTGCTGGATACC